CGGGGTAACCACGGTGGCACAGTGGTTATCACTCGAATGAATAGGCTACAATTTCTTCGACATGTTACACATACACATGCTGGTTGAAGAGAGTGCCATTTTCGCACGCAGGCTAATATCAAGAAAGGGGACACGAGCATAAAAACATTATCAGGGGTATTGGTCACCAAGCCGTCCTGCGCGGGAAGCTCATCACCGACCTGATTGAGACGTAGACAAACTCGGTGATTTGGCTAAGCGTAGTAAACATTGACGGTCAGTTCATACGCAAACCTATCCAACTTGCTCCCCGAAGGTTTATATCGATAGCACATTCCGTCTGCAACTTTCATCTCCTTCAGCAGTCGACCAATTAGATAACTGGAAGATAGAACAGTTCAACGAAAAGTACAGATGGTGGTCCGACAACAACCTAAAATGCTGTCAGAAGTACCATTTTCATGTTAATAGTACTTTAGAAAAGCGCGGAACATGTTATCGCGGTCAGAGAATAGAGCGCTCGTAAGCTGAAAAAAGGACAAGTGTAACACCACGAAATGGAGTAATCCCTGAAGAGGCTACCTGAATAAATCGACGATAATGAAACCGTTCCGTGAGACGGGGAACGGGTCACCAACGTGCACCGCGAGTGTAGACTACGGAGTTGCGCTATATTGCGTGCTTAAATAACATCAAATCGATTAACAGATCTTTGATTCTTAATAAAAGCACAGTTATTCTGTAGGAACACCTTAAAGTGTAAATACCGCACAATGTTGCTCACCTTGGTAGAAATTAGGAACCTCAATTCGACCTTCGGTCCTTCGCCCCGGCGCATTTTCGAGGGAGGTTCTCCTATAAATAATATATTCGACAACACGCGCTACTGGAAATTACCTTCTACACGGCCGATTGATTGTTTAATATCAAGCTAAAACAGAAATGCGATTTAGATAGGATATGAGCACCACACAGACCATAACAGGCGCCCCTAGATCGTACGCGGCCATTACAAACAAATGGCTCGATTGTCGTGTACACTCTCTACCCCGAAGCTTATAAATGTTATGCGCAATGGGAGTGTGAAAATGGCAGAATTTCACAATTTAGAAGAAATTCTCGTCAGACATACTGCCTGTTCGTTTTGGCTCATGCCAGATCATTTCAGCTCAGTTCAGCTTAGTTCAGTTCAACTTGCACAAGAAGTAAAACGATCAAGGCCAATCGAGTGTATTAAGATATTCGAGAAGTACTGGGGTTCGAGGCTGGTATGCAGTCAAGTTTGACACCAAAGAATGCGAAAGTTTCTCAGGATCTACGGGCGATTATACGATGGTCTGAAAAGTGGGATCTCCCTCCCAACCTACTCTTGAAGAAGTACTGGAGTTCGAGGCATGCGCCCTATATTCCCGGTTCTGCATTTGTCCTCACTCTGCCGTTCGGTGCACGGGCCGAAAGAGATGTTAACAGAAAATGGAGCTGGCTCCAATATGGTGCCATCGGGTTGAGGATGCATCGGGCAATTTTTAGAAGAGGAATGGAAGGAGGAAGTAACAGAAACAAACAGGATAAAGTGGAGTTTCCTCCAGAAGAGAGAGGTCTATTAGATCTGGATAAGGATAACCCCTAGGTGTGAGCCTAGCAGGATTTTAGAGACCCT